GAGGCTTGGCAATTATCGGGATACCGGTAGCCTGAGCCTCGGACTTGATAGTTGGATGAGGTACTAGTGGTTTAAGACAAAACTTCCAATGATAGAACTCGTAGAATATTCGATTTTGGTAAGTTAGGCGGCGTTACATCGCTGAGGAGCCACCTTTCTCCGGAGTCCGAACTATGCCCAAAAGCATATCCCTAAAAGAAGATTTTTCATGGTCTGAATGGCGGATCGTATTTACTATTTCCTGCCATGTTTTTTTACTCCTATAAAAAAAAAAGCAGTGCACCTATTTCTGCCATGTGTACATATACATCGACAGAATGAACTTTCCTACGCTCCTGCTAGTTTTTTTTTTATGTCTAGTCATCAATAGGCAAATCACAAAAAAAAATAATAAAAAAAACAAAACAAAACCATTTTTCGTTAGATGATAGTCTATCTCTATCTTATCCTCAGAAAATGCACATCCAAACAAACCGGAGCCAGGAGCTATCCATTCTTATATATATATATATGTGAACCGACAGTCTGGAGAGTTTTCCATCTGGTGTGGGTGAGTGATAGTCTAATTTGATTTTGGTTAAGGTAGATTATCATTTACAGTGTAATCAGTGAGGGGATTCTGCAGACTGTTGCGGGTTCAGCCTCCTGATGAGTCGGTGAAACTCCGACGAAACAGTTTGTCACAGCCCCTCGTTTGTTGTCCTCTTCTCTCTCTCTGCCCACGGTTTACCGGGCAGTTCTGTTTATGACGATATATATATAAATATATTTATATATATATATCTATATATCTATATATATATATATAGATATATATATATGATGCACACATGCGGCCCCTTCCTTCGAAGACCATTTTAAAGATAAACCTTTAAATGTTGGTCCAATTCCGAGTTATCCTCAAATATTAAAAAAATAGTAAAAAAAAAAAACTTAAAAAAAAAAAAAAAAAGATTTGTAGTCATATTTTTCACTACAATTTTTTTTTTTTTCCTTCCTCCCCCTTTTTCCTATCTTTCACTGCTTTTTTTTTTTTGGTTTCAGTATTAGTAGTTAAATAGTCGAATGCACTCGTGCACTCTCTCTCTCTCTCTCTCTCTCTCTCTCTCTCTCTCTCTCTCTCTTTCTCTCTCTCTTTCTCTCTCTCTCTCTCTCTCTCTCTCTCTCTCTCTC